ATTAGCCCATTTGCGGTCTGAGTGTAATCATTTTATTTCTTACGATCATATTATATTTAATTTAACGATGAAACCACTTCATTCTAATAATATTAGTAAGGTTAGTCCTCTTTCTGTTGAGAAAGGAAAAATATTAATTTCTTGGTTTATATGTGAGGATTTAAGCTAACATATTATAAGCAAAGCTTAAATAACATATTTCTTATTTCCCTTACTGTAAAACTCTAAATCATTTTGATTTTCAATGATAGAAAATGATGCAAATATTATATAAGTATTTCTATGAATTATACATATTACTTTATCAATGAAATTATTAATTTGAGTTATTATTTACTTCTACTAAAACTAGGCTCTTGTTAGACATCTGGCAATATTGGTGCATTTTTGGTCAATTACCTATACAATTAATACCCATTTCCGTCGTATAATGTCAAGAATGCACACATTTTATTTTATTTTAAATGTCTATTTCTGTATTGTCTGTACGCGACTGGTACATAAATGCGGATTAAATCTTTTTAAACTGTTAAAAATGTTTTAACTGAAGGCTGTCGAGGGATATGGGTTATTGTGTCGCTTTCAAAAGGCTTGACTAAATTTATTAAAAGTTATGTGAATAATTGTAGACAAACCTTTTCCTTGGATAAAAATTTTAAACGCAATCGTTTGAAGTTTTTATTTGCACAGAGCACTTATGCGTATATTTTCGGTTCTAAATAAAAAAGTAGGTATTTCTTATATTTGTAATTCTGTATTTTATTAAGAGCTTTCTTATTCCCCATCAAGGACAAAGCTTATCTATCTTCGAAAACTCCGGATCGGAGTGGCGAATTGCATTTTTAATATCGTGAATATTTCATGACAATATGCGAGATTCGTCGGCAAAACATTTTCGCAAAAAATTCAATGTAGTTGTGCTTTTTAGTTTTCAGTCACAATTGTATTAAAAACTTCATCCATCTTGAATTCGCCTAGAAACCTTATGAGCGTTTGCATGTTTGTTACTCACGTTACGCCAAAACGGCTTGGACGATTAAGAAACAATTGGGGATGAGACAAAAGAAAGACAATAAATTCAAAATAATACTAAGTTTTCTCACTTGTGGTAATAATCTAATACTAGATACGGATACAAGTAGGTAATCAATGCGTGATTTGTTTGAGCAAAACCTGTGTAGCCTTAGAACAGTTGTGTTTTGGGATTGGAACCTCTCACCCGGGTGAGCTTCCGTCCAGCTCTTCTAGCTCCCACCCGCATTGCGGCGGTCCAAGCCGAGGCCGATGCCCCCCTCGGGGCACCCTTGGTCTAGCCGCAAACACGGCGAGCGCTATCGCGCTCGCCCAAAACGCCCGGTTAGTATTCGTGGCTCCTTAGGAACACAATGCGTAAGAGTCCAATCAAAAAAAATAAAAAAAAAGGATTGGAACCAATGGGGGAGCGATCGTAGCGCCAGGTGGTGCAGTGCACCAGGGCCCCGGAAGTTAGGGGCCCTCTAACCTTATCTTTGAGAAGATATTTTATTATTATTAAGTAAGTATTTGAAAATGATTTTTTAGCGTTCATGTTGCTATTTTTATAATTTTGGAGGTTCATTTAATTCAAGCTATGCTAAAAGAGGGGATGAGGACCTGCTTGTTTCTTGAGCCCTAGCATTAGGTAGACCGGGGCCCTTGTCCACCTAGCTACGCTACTGATTGGAACCCAAAGCCTCTATAACTACTATTTAAGTGAAGATTCTAAATCAATGATTAATTGGTGATTTTTAAAAATATCATCTTTGACGTTTATAAGTATACCTAGTTACTTACGTGAATAAATGATTCTTGACTTTGACTGAATAAAAAAACGAGCCCTATCTCGTCTCGAAAACAATACGTTAATTGAGATCGCAAACAAACCTGGATTAAAAATTTAGTTCATTAGTCGATCTAATTAGAAAAATGGGTTAAACATTTGGTGAACAATACTCAACTTTATTTCGCAGAAAGTAACATTCAAAATTGTTTACGTGCTAGCGAAATGTGCAGTTAAAATGTAAGGTACTCACTGACAAGTTATCGCGAGCATATAGTATTTATATATTCTATAACTTTATTTTTGTTCTTATGTTGGGCTGCTTTGCTTCTTTTACTATGTTAGTTTTAATCGCAAAATTTGCCGCCGATGCAGAAATAATAATTTCAGTATTAGAAAACCATTATTTAATTTAATTTCTCACGAGTTAATAAGAAGACTAACAGTATAAAATATTATTGCTGTTGTTTTTTTTTAATCATACACACACAGCAATAGGTTAGATATAGATTATAGTCGTCGTGCTTCATTTTGATTATTAGTAATTAGTAATTTTGTGTCATGTACAATAATTTACCTTATATTTGCTTTTTCACTTATAATCTTTAAAGCAAGCAGAGTCATTATGATATAAATGCGGTAAGTTGAAAATTACAGCCGAGGCGATATTACTAAAAAATGCTGCGAAAATAAAAAGCGCGCGGAATTATTTTTACTTGTCCACAAATAAGCGATGCGCGCGCATCAACGTTTTTTTTTAGGCAAAGGTACAAAAACAGCAAGTATTACTAATAAGTAAATTAATATTTTTTGTGTTTTTGTTATAGATAAATGGTTGTAATTTATTGTCAAAATTAATTAAATTAAAGAATTAAATGTTTATTTGTTATATTTTATTTCCCAAAGTTAATTTTATTCATAAAATATTGACCTTTCTTGACATAAAACCTCTTTGCTAAGAAAAAAAAAATTGAAATTGGAGTAATTACATCCACTTTACGAGCAAATATGTTATAAAAAATATTACGCACGTATCACGTAGGTGTGTACCGTGCATCCGTCACTCGAATTTAGAGTTCGAATTTTGAAACTTGTTAGGAAAAGTTACACAATCTCTGCGGTCGTTGTTTTGGCGGGAAGATAGAGTTCGTTTCATCTTTAATTAGGTCACGTTATTTACGACTTGCGTCGGATAGTTTTTTATTTACTTTGTTTATGCGCAACACAAGGCGCGATAGATTAGTATTTCATAAGAGCGGGCTAAATAAATCGATATAAACTAAACGCCGTAATCTTTTAACGACTGTTTTTTATAGAACTGAGAAGGACTGACCCTTACTTGATAGAAGGGTTAATACTTAAACACTTTTACATTTCCTCTCAAGAAAAAGAAAGAAGAAAACTTATTTTCTATCTTTATGCTTTTCTTCTTTTCTACCTAGGCTTTGGCCATCCGGATATACCTAATCACGACTAAGTCACTTTAAGCCATCTGTGGATGGTGCCGGATGAAATTTTTGTGTTCTAAATACACTCATTTCTAAATACATTTCTTCCAGACGAAATCTAATACGACTCTGTATCCAAATGATTTAACATATTGCCTAGCATTGCGTTATGCGCGTGAGGTCCTGGGTTCATCTGAGGGGAACAAAAAGAAATTGTTCTGGTCGGGTAGAGCACAGAAAGAAGAGACAAGCACCCATAAGAAAAATAAATTTTGAGAGTATGTTTCACTCTAAATAATAAAGTTAACTAAGTAGTTCCTATTCTCAAACTCTTCAATAGAGTTTGTTGACTTTTTTACAAAAGTTGTTGATCTACATGTTTTTAAATACCTGATTTGATAGAAATTTACTTACATCCTCTTGTTGACTTAGTGATGAGCGACTGCCCCAGTCCTCAAACGTTTCGCGTTCACCTGTTCAAACAAAAAAATGTTGTTAGAATATGACTACCTACATATTGTAAAAATTGATAAATTTGCTGTGGGAAAACTTAATGCTGTCTTCAATTAAAATCTATTGTAAACATTTTCAGCAAATTCAGTACATTTTTAGTAATAGGCAAGTAGTGATTATGTGCTCCTTTCAAGTAACATTTCTCTCTTATATCTCATAAATTCAAGCAAACTATATACTTTTAGAAATATGTAGTCTAAAGTTAAATTGTATTTTTCTCAACTGTTATGTGTATTAAAAGTAATAAATACTTACAATAACTAGCTTCACTGTTCGCTTCCATAATTACAGCATTATCTGAAAGAAAGAACTTACTAAATTAATATTTTACTAGTAATAGTTAGTAAGTTAAATTAATAACAAAATATTTCAACTAGTAATATTGCCAACTACTAGAAACTTGTTCCCTAAATAAGTGGACTAAATATATAGTTGATTAGAAAGATTGGAGGAAGTGTGCTTATATATGAAGTACTTATTTTTTTATTAATCTGTTGAGTTTTCAGGTATTCCATCATCAAGTTCCTATTTAAAAAATCTGTTATTAGACCTTTAAAAGTAGTTGTTCTTATTTGCCCCAAATTCAGTCATTGAGCAAAGGTATATATTATTTTTCTAGATTGTTTGTAACTTAGTACAAAGTTCTTAAAATAAGTAACAAAGGGACAGTAGATTCCTCTAAGTATGTTTGAAAACTAGATACCTAATAATTGACGTAATCTTACCATAATCCATTTATGAATGAAAGCAACATAGTTGTTTATTTAAACACAATTAACACTGACTGTATATCACAAACACCTCTTAAACAAGTTAAAATTCAATTAGAAAACAGAATAATCAAAACTACACGCCCATCTCGAAAAACGTTTAGTACATTGACACTTCACTTGGTACACGACATATGAACATATATGCGGGTAAACCATAGTAAATTAGGTAGGTTTTCATTTATAACCGATGCTATTTATGTTAAATTTCTTCTACAAAAGGCAGAAAATGAATGAGGTTCATTGTACTTTTGTGTTTACAATTTGAACTGTCAAAGTCGGATCGATAATGTTGCCAGATTGGTGATTCTTTTTCGCAAGAAAAGATGTGTTGTGTTTTAATATCAAAATAAACTTGCTAAATAATTCATAATCTCGTTAAAATAAGTAACGTTTTATCGCTCTTATTCTTCAATAAAAAAACGCACAAAATCAAAATATTTATTAATAAATGCCCAAATATCACAGAGTTTAATCTTCTTTCTTCTTTTTGCTAGGAGATTCTTCTCTGTCGCTATGACGTCGCTTCCGTTCACTCGACTCGCGTTTATCTGTAGCCGGCTTGTTCTTATCCTCCTTTTTCTCAGATATAAGTTTTTTAACGCGAGCGGCTTCTGGTGAATATACCCATAGCAACATTTCTAAGTGTTCATCTGTTGGTTCATCTTTATTGTTAAACAGCTTAGCTTCCGCGTGCTGTAAATGTTAATAAACAATATGAAGAGCAATGAATGCCAGTCATCTGTCAATTGTCATTTTTATCGTTCTTTATAAAGTTGATATTAAAAATATACATTTTCACATGATTTTGTTGGTATTGTTTCAGTTGAACATATTATTAACGTGATACAATTAAACAGTGATACAGACACAGAAGTGTGTCTCCCTCAGGCCCCTCGAATGGCATTTACATACATACCTTTTCTTTTAAATCTTTCAAAGCGGTATTCCTAACAATGTCCCATGATTTCTCACTTTCCTTTTCTAGAACTGTTCGCAGACGCTTATATTCACCGTTTACCGACGCGTACGCATCTATGAAAGATCTCTGAAACAGAAATTTACTGTTAAACATTTACGTGTTAAAGAAGTTTATAACAGATTATCTTCGATTTTTACTTCAGAGCGGTATGAAAGGCTGCTAAGAAAGGAAGCCGAATAGTTTGTAAGATTTAACCTCTTACAAGCTACGGAAAACTAAACTAACATTTTCCCCATTTGTGTATAAAAATTGTAGTAACATCATAATCCATAGTATCTTAGATTAGCTTCTTGTTCCTATATGGAAATATCAGTACCTTGTTGCAATAATTTCCTATTAGGCGCTTATTATAATCGATGTTCTTTTCGATACCTTTGTATCATGTGTTCAGTTTATAAAATTTGTCTGGAAAATTTCTCAACAAATTTCTTTTTAACACTTTTTACATATTACATAACATCTACACCACAAACTATTCTTTATGCTGTTTCTGTAAATGGTATTGAACTAATTGTGAAATTTGACCGCTTGTTAAAACATGTCAATACCTGTTGTTTCGTCACTTTATCTCCAGCCAAGTCGAGGCAGGTCCTGACCACTCCTAGAGGCAAGTAAGGGTTATTCTGTTTGCTCAAGTGCATTGTATCAAAGTCGTCCAAGAATTTCTCAAATATGGAAATCGACTCTTTGATGTTTGATAGCTTTGTTTCATCTTTAGTGCCTGAAAAACAAAAGTTTTCATATATATGCAATTAGTTGATGATGGACGTAAACTGTTATCTACGTCGTTACATAAAAAAGTCGTTACGTAAACATTTAAGCGTAAAATTCTGTCATTAAAACATATTAAAAAGATTTACTGTATAATATAATAACTATAACTGTAGGTAGAAATAAGTTAGATAAGTCCAGATATTTAACTTTGTAATCCAGAAAAATTACAAAACAATATAATCTATGCTCTTCAGCTTTATGTATTAATAAAGCTGAAGAGTTTGTTTGTCTGTTCATTTGAACGCGCTAATAGTTAAAATTACATTTCTAGCTTGTTAAAACATGCTAGAAATAATGGAGGACGTACGAATGTTCGTACATGAGCGTTAATTCGCGTTTCAGTTTAATATGCGAAATAAAAGATCGACAACACACCGTAGTGCGCAAGTGTAATGGCTTTTATTTTTCGTTATTTGAAAATGAAATTGAACTTACATGTGAGGACGCGCTTTGCTCTACCAATAAGACCTTTGACAGCTAACTTTTGGTAATCTGGATCTCGACCCTCCA